AGCTTTCTGAATTTACCACGACCACTAAAATCACCCATTATAGGCCATATTTTCGGAAGCATCGTTCTCAGCGTTGGAAGTGGGAGTGTAGCAATATGGTATTACAATGAAATAGATCACATCTTAGTGAATAAAAAGCGTTGTACAACCGATTTCGCTGGTTGATTTCAAATATATGCGTGATCGCACTATCGCTTTTCGTGCATTTTTTTGGAGAAATTAAAATCGCCGGTAGATTTGAAGAACGAAATCCTCACCACAACATGTATTTATGCTAGTCATAAGTCTACCCCGGCGATAACGATGTCAGTGACAATATCCAAGATGGAAACCTTCGGAATACTCAACATCGTCATTCTAGCGCTATAAAGCCGGGAGTTTTACTGCCATAAACATGCTTTCTGATATGCTGGACACTTGAAAGGTCAAACAAGGGCAGCGACTCACTACGAAAACTTGCGAACGTGTCAGTCACATAGACTTGCAAGTATGGCTCCGGACAAAAATTTTGAACAATTGAACGACTGTGTCATTTAAGGTGATACGTGACTTGACGATGGTCTGCTAATTGCTTGCAGGTGAACGCCACTACCACGCGGATTCCTTTTTAATGCCTCCACATAACGTATTTCAACTTTAGGTAATCTGACCTTTATGCATTTGCACACATAAGTAGCAAATCGATAACCTCGCATCTTCTCATGAATAAGTTAATAAACAACAGAGTTGATTCAAAACAGTTTGCTGCAGTCAGCTTGGGAAGCAAATAATACACAGAAGTATTAGTCACTTAGTTAGAGTTAGTAAGCTAGTTGGAGTTAGTTGACTCGCCGACTCTCCTTTTGCGTCAGCTGCGCCGGTAACTGCCTTGAATCACCTACTCTATTATGTTCCTCTTGGCTAGTTGAATCCATCTACTCCACTCTTTTGCTCCAACTGCGGCCATTTCAGTCTCTTTTTGTCGTAATGTTCAGTCAAATCTAACTGCGAACCCCTACATTATGAAATATTCCAAGGGTGGTACGTCTCTAGAATCTCTCCAGCATCCTCCAATATGCAAAATGTATAGAAATTACCCAGACCTGACCACGAGCCTCTTCAACAGAACCAAGGTAAAGATGACACGTTTCATGAACGGCAGGTCGCCCTTAATTATTGATTAATTAATGTCGAATCACGAATGAAAAGCGGTGTTAGATATCAATTGGATTTTGAACTAAAAGAAATTGAGAACTTACAAATTGTTGCTTTGTGCCAAGGGTCCTTTCCGTTCCACAGAGGCATCTTGATAAGGGGTAAGCTTCGATTTCTAACTCTTATCCTTTGCCGATTTCGGCAAAATGTCTACACCTCTATTCACGTTCGTTAACCTTACCACTATAAAGCAGGAAACGACTGGGCAAGAGCCGAATGATTTCGGTAAAGTGCATCATAGTAAAGTCAATGGGAAAATTAGATGGGATATGCTTCAAATTTTTGTACGAACATGGGTTGGTAGGCAGTTTTCTTATAGTCTTGAAGGCATCTGCTTTGATCTCATGAATCTTATTTATTTACTCGATTCAACATCACATTTTTTTTGTTGTGCAGATCCTAGTAATTCTGTAATTCGACTCGTTCTTCGTCTTCCTTTGATTGAAGTAGAATACTGGCCAAGCGTGTTTCCTTGCAGTCTCGAGGATAGCCTGGCTGTAGCATTCCATAGGGCGTTTCTGTTGACTGCCGGAGAGTGTTAGGGGTGGAACTAGACCCCACGCGCGCTGCGGCGAGCATCACAACTACTCGGCCACGCCCTCCCCCCAATCTCATGGAATATACAGAAAATATCCACATCAATTATACGGCATTGCCTGGAGCTGTATATGTCTTCATCGCTGTCATCTATTCGATCTTATGTGTTGTTGAAGTGTAAAAGTGATATGATGACAAGATATCAAGATTTTGATTAACCCTTTCGGGACGGCGTGAGTTCTGTTATACACACACGGCTCTTTAACCCTTTGAGGGCCGCCGTTGATAGCAGGCGCATCGCATGGATCGCTTACGCAGTCGCAGACAGCATCCGCAGGTCGGACACACCTGCAGATATTGGCTGTCTCCATGGCCCAAGACGCGACGCCGCGCGGCGTCTTACATTGCATAGCACGTAGCCTCAAAGGGTTGAATTAGCTGTCCCAAAACACTCGTTTCATGCTCGAGGACTTTCTAAGCATTTTTTTCTTCAATATCTAGGCCGAAGAACAGAAAGAAAATTCCAAGAATTTAATTCAGTGCGCTAATAGCTACTAATACTTGCTAAGCTATTGCTAATTTAGGTGTGATTACCAGCAGCGCTGTAATTGATTAGTCCCGGTAGAGTTAAGGTTTTTGACCAAATTGCGACGGGTTTTTTCCTTTTTAAAATTCCCACAAGTACTACTATTTTATAGAAATTGAAGTGATTTCCTTGCATGGTATTTTGAAATGAGAAGGAGTCGGTCAGAAGATAGGCATGTTATTCAATCCGTTAGATCTATAACAATTAGCCCGGTGTCTCCTTTTTCTTCGTATCATTTGATTATACAGTGATATTTGAATAAACTATTCCGACTGTTGGCTGTTGATAGATAACGCTTTGTAGCGTAGAAAGAGTGGTGTGCGAGACTGGCGTTGGCAGCGGTTCAGCACGCTCTTCCGGAAATAGTGAGATCTCGGTTCAAATCCCAGCTGACGCAAAAATTTTTGCACACTACGCTACACTATTGGGTATATTGCAACATCATAACACCGCATGGACGATCAAATAAAATGAATACTGACTGATTACTTTGACTGTGTGCGTGCTCATTCCTCTGAAGGCTTTTATGTGTTCAGATGAGATATTTATGAAAGCTGAAAAAAGCGAAGGAGCGGGAATTTTAGCCATCACTACACAAATTAGAGACAGTTACTAACAACAGAACTCGCAGAAAGAGAGGAAAAATAGCAGAAACAAGAGCCTCGGTAGTGCACTTGTTACCGTGCGCAAATGGTAAGGCTCGAACGCAGGTTCAGCTCTCGCGCGGGTTTGTCAAAGTTTTTGATATCCCTCAACATGCTTGGACAAGTGGTTGTAACGTCATCACATTGCTACTAAAGCGGTTAAACAAAGAATTTTTGATGATCATATACAATTCTAACAACCTCGTTTAAATTAGTTTTTGAGGTTAACTATTTGCACCAGTAGGAACAGTAACTGCATTTCATTTTAACCCTTGGGGATTATGACGGTTTTTCTGATACCAGTCGCGCGATGCCCAATCTCATTCAGCTACTGTGGTGGCGGTGTTGTGTCTCATGGGAAGCGGGCAAGCAGCCAGACATGCGTGCACGGGCGTACAGATGCCGCCTGCATGACTGTCGCGCAAGCGACGGCGCAACGCCGCTTTCTTACCGACGCTGGTCCTCGCAAGGTTAATCCTTTTCCAGGTCTAAAATGGTCGGTGGTTCACGTACTTTTCGGCGGCTCGCTATCATCAGAGCCACGCGCCCAGAGATGGAGTGTCCGAGGAATGTTAAGATCACATAACATAAAATGTTATCTGAATCGTTTCATACTAGATGGTTTGTGGCTTTTATCAATTACATAAACTTAATTCAATATAATTATACAAATTCAATTATCTGTGAACCCAGCTCGCTAATATGGGACACGTGGCTCTAATGAAGGCGATGCCGCCGAAACGTACATAAGCCACTGACCTGACCATAGCGGACTTCGAAAACGCTTAAGACAGGTCTGTAGAAAAGCAGTGAAGGGTTAATTGTGGCGAAAATGAATATTCGATCCCATCTGCTGGACAAGATTTTTTCTAGGAATGTTAATAATCTTTCGTATGCCTAAATCACTCCCTAAAGTCATACGTGGCTGGTTTCTCAAAACAGCCTTTCATATCGGCTTAAAATCCAAAGCAAATTTTTGTCTCCCGCACGCTGCGCCTTCATTTTTTGTCACGCTTATAATTCTCTGGAAGCACGTCAAACACATGAACGAGTAGAAAAAACTTCGTAGTTTCTGAGTCAACCGTTTTATTCGGAGTTTCTTACAAAGTAGAAAGGAAAATTCCGTTCGAATAACAAGTTGCATCTCACATCTCTGACATTTTAGGCATTCCATCGATCGCCCGTCCCCAACGCGTAGATTAGCTGATAAAACTAGCTCGCCAAGTATGTGAAATTCGACCCTATTCCTTGGTATACTGCAGTGAAACGGTCTATCCCAAATAATAAGCACAGCGTGGGAATCATTGGGACTTACGCCATCGAATGACTACCAATAGTTTAGGTAGAGAATTCTGTCCGGAGCACAAATCTTCTCTTTCTCCCAAAGGGCTATCAAAAGAGCTATTCCAAAAACACATTTTTGAGCTTTTCGAGATTTGTGCTATCGAAAGAGTCCTAGCAGTCTAAGGGAGTTTTGTCCAGCGAAATATTAAAGAGGTGAAAAAAACGTCTAACCGCATGAAATATAGTTTTATTTTGGATTTTAGAGCGTTATAAAAGAGTGTTTTAAGAAAGCTGCCACGTATGGGTATTGTCAGACATTTGAGATTTCGAGTGACTACTGACACTCCTATGAAAAATTCTTGTCCAACAAATGAGGTCAAATATTTATTTGTTGCCGCATTACAGAAAAGTACCCAATGAAATTCTGAAATGAAATTAAAAAAATACTCGATAAAATGGAAGCTCTGGTCATAGTTTACTAGCTAAAATAAGAACCGTTATAGAAAGATAAAGCTCGCAGCACTGGGATCAATCGTTGACGGATGCGCCATGCGTTCGTCTCCAATTTTCAGTTCGTTTGAAGTCATTGCATATCTAGCCTTTTCAATGACTCGCAGTGGCCTCCCACTGTAGCGGGTCAATCGTTAGACAATATGATTATGTGCACAAAAATTGGGACGTCTTATGTTTCTACTGCTTTTTCGCCGTGTTATGGTGTTTCGAATGAACTTACGAATTGAGTGGAAAGCAAAATTCGACCTCAAACGGGAGTTGAACCCGCATCTCATCCGTACGGGAGGCGCGTGCTATCACTACACCATCAAGCCACTGTTTCACCACTACTCGTTCTTCATTTTGAGCTCAATATAAATATAAGTATGTAAGGCACGCTGTGCGGGAATGAACATTCAGGCGAAAGTGGTAAACCACTTTTCGTCCGCGCTGAAGAGCATCCAGATGGTAGATGCAAAATGCAAAAAAGCTACTTGTGGGAACACTCAAAACACGGAAGTCCAGCCGCGAGTCTGAAGTGACTGTTACGATCCTAGCCCAAGAATCAAAAGCATCTACGCGCAAAACCCGTGGAAATCTTTGGATTAGGTAAAATCCAAAAGGACCAGAAGGACGGATGAGTCACTATCAAGCTGCACATCGCGCCGTTTCTTTGTGATTTTTCGGCCTGACCTAGGCGGAATTTGAAGGATCCTCTCAGTCATTTAATTTCTCTAGTACATCGTACGTTTCGCTCCGGATGAGGCGTTGTCACCAAAGTCGCCCATCAAACTCTCCAGCTATTACTGCCACTGCTATTACTATCATCAATGACGTTCGTCAGCTGATCAAGGTGAGTCTTTCAGACACTATACTGATCCGCCTTAACAATGTTTTTTTTTCTCCACTATACGGATTCCAGTATTTCCAGCATTCAATTCGTTGTTTCTTCGTCATGAGCGCCGTAAATACTGGCTAAGCACGTACGTCTTCCAGAGGTCTCAAGGATAGTCCGGCTACGGCGTTCCATAGGGCTACCAGGAAGAGTTGTGGGTAGAAAAGCAACACGAGCATTCGGCTACGGCGCCACTCATGGAAGTCTTTACGATTTGCAAAAACCTTCGCAATCTCAAATTTGTCGGAATGAAATACTAATTATTACCTGATATGCGTAGACGGGAGAGAATTTGATTTTATGGAGCCACCGAAATCGCAGACTTTTGCCTCCCGCTCCTCTTCGACGAGGCTCTTTAGCTCTTTCAAGACTGTGTACCCGCCTACTCGGCATCTCTAACCCCTCACCGTCCAGCGTTGCCACGCTGGGACTAGAGATGTAGAGAAGGTGAGTCCACGGCCCCCAGATGGTTCGGGAGGACGAAAACGACCGGCAGTGTTTGGTCGATTCGAATACGATAATGTCATAAACATGTTGTTGAGTGTTATGTAGTTGTCTCGGTATCGCTTGGAATTCTAAGGGTTTGAATCTCGTTTTCAATCCCTTTCGAGGATATTTCAAATCCAAACAAGCTTAGGGACTAAGTTTCAATAGTGGAGAAGATCCATAATAGTCGACGAAGAGAGCAAAGTCTCTTTCTCTCTCTCTCTCCCTCTCATGAACCAATCGTCTGTCCCTCAACTTCTCAAGCCTTCATGTTCTCGCTCAAAAATCAATCGACGGGCAGTTTGCGAGGAATCAGTTTCCGAATCCTTCAAATTTCGGACGACGAGTCACGCTGTAATAGAGAAAAATCGAAATAGTTATTGGTTCGATCTCTTTCCGGGCAAATTCACTTGCCAACCGTATGGATCAAAGTAAGTACCACTACGACGTGTGATCAAAAAAAAATTCTTTATTCCAATTTATTTTTAGCGGTTGTGTGAAGTTATACCTATGAATTCAGGAATGTTGAGTGATATGGAAAGTTGTGGACCTCCTGTGGGAATCAAACTCGCATCTCCCTTTACCTGGAGGCGTGCTAACCCGTTCAACTATCGGAGCTCTCGCTCTGCTATAAGTCCTTAGGCGACTTAAGGCTCTTCGCAATACTCTTCATGCAATTGTTGCTGCAAAATGCTCGATATCAAAGATGAAGGGGTCCGATTCTTCAAGCAAACGTTGTTGCGAAATCGGCGCACCTCGTAGGAAAGTGTGCCCTGATCGCGTTGTGCATGCTTGGTGCAAATGGCCCAAAAATTTCAATTATACTTTTCTATTCCGATTTTGACCTCCCCGTATAAATCGCTTGTGATTCGTGTCGTCTTCTTTTTTCTTATCTTTAGAACTTCTAAGGCGAGTTTTTTTGTGCATTTTGGTCAGTTTGAAATAAAAACGTCGCTGCTTTGTCCTCTGCTCTCTTTTTGTGGAGGTTTTGTTCAGATTCAGCCGTTTTCAGCCGATTTTCATGTTGAATTGCTTCAAAATGAATTATTTAAAATTGGACCTATAGTAGGAATAAAGATGTCCAGTTCATTTAGAATCAATTTTAGCTCTCGTCTGGTATGGTGACTATGGATTCGCTAGCCGAGGAATGGGAAAAAACGAGTTAGACGAGTGTTTTCTGTTACGAATCAGTTCTTCGTTCTGATTTGCTGAATGCAGTTGGATTTAGGACTTTCGCTACGAGATTATCAAAAGGAAGGCGTCGACGCGATGTATTCGTGGTACAAAGCCGGCCACGGCGGAATCAATGGCGACGAAATGGGCTTGGGCAAAACTTGTCAGGTCAGACGATCGCTTCCTCATGCCCTCCACGTGGGATTTGCAGCGTTTGTTTTCAGTGAGGATAGGTTTTGGGGTGCTTTTTCTTTTTGATATATTTGTGTTTCACTCAAAATTTCGTGTTAATCTTACTAATAATAAAGTAAGAGTTCAAGCCAGTTGTTATTTCATACTTTTCCGCTCTTTAATAATCATTTCGGCAAGCATCGTAGTACGAAACTTGGGTCTCACAAATATCTTTTTTTATTTAAATGCTTCTAGCGATGCTGTTATGTTACAATGCGCATGTGACACAGTGGTTAGAGGTCGCCCACAAGGTCGGTCGTTTGATCTCGCGCTCCTTGGTCACCGAGCCATGCATCCCTCCAGGGTCGTTAAGTTGGTACCACTGGTTTCAGACTGTTCTCAGACTTGTCGGAGAGGCCAAACATCAGTGACTCGATACAGCGGTAGACCACCACGAGTCATTGTGAAGGCCAGATAGACATTCAATCACCCTCAAACGAAGGTGAAAACTAAAGACGAATGCATGGCGCATCTCTAAGGGATTGATCAACGCCGACAGCTTTAACCTTTATCATCATATGATGTTACAAGTATATCCAATGATGTTGAGTGCTATGCAAAACTTTGATGTCAAGCGGGACTCGAACCCGCATCTCAAGCTCTCCCGAAAGCGCATGCTTCAACGAATTGGACTGCCGACACCGTTTTTGCCACCACTAGGTTTTTAATCAGTTTTGATTGCTCTCTAACAGTTCAATTCAGTTTCAGGCTATCGTTCTTATGATGAGATTACTAAATGAAGAAAACGGGCCATTCCTTGTTCTCTCTCCGCTGTCTGTGTGTGAGCATTGGGTATCCGAAATCCAAAGGTGATTTATCTTTCGTCTTCGTCGGGTTATCCAGAAGATATTATTTTATCGCCCACCATTACTACTCAGTTCAGGTTTTCATGTGATGAACTTGACCCAATCGGCTATTTTGGATATGCTGAGGAACGAGCCAATATACTCGTAAAACTTGGAAAGCTGAAGAAAAACTCGGTTTTCATAATTCCATATCATGTAGGCACAATCTTCAGAAGTTCCATATTATTTCTGAGAAATTTTGTTTTTGCCCCGAAATTTTTCTCTTTTATAATTTAACATTGTTCAGCTATTCCGTAGCGAGCCTGCGATAGTCAGGAATTTACAAGCGAGCTGTCATCTGAAGTTCAATGTTGTCATTGTGGATGAGGCACAAGCTATAAAAAACCAGGATTGTGTATTGGCCGAAAATTTGAAGCCTGTAAGTCGTTCTTCTGCTTGGTTTTCATATTGTTCATTTCGCTTCAGTAAGGAAGCAGGCAGTACAAAGGCTTCCATAGACTTTTCGTCCTTTACTTGTATGACAGTGTTAATCTAGTCATTGCTCCAAGTTAATCCTTCAGCCCTTTGTGGATGGCAACATAATCAAAGCCACCAAAGGCGCGCGATTTTCGTCCTTGAACAAAGATTTTTTTCTTTGTTTTGATGAGTACTTCAGGTTTTTGAACAACTCTGATGCAACACGATTTTCTCTAAAAGTTGTAAACTTTTTATGCATATATTACTCCTATGTACAAAGGAAATTCCGAATGTGAAATTAATTTTATTTTCGCTCTCACGATGCGCCGTAAAAACCTCTTCGAAAACCAGTTCAAGCTTCAAGTTCTTCGATATTTGGGATATTGAATAAGTGTTATGTAGTCGAGTAAAAAGCGATCCACAATGTTTAGCTGAGCAAATAAGGCAAGCCGAATGTGGAAATTTTTCAATAATAATAATAGTTTTGTTTTTACGGCTACAGTGTAGTAAAGAGGCCTTTCTGAAAATCAAGCAGCGTCGAAATTTTCCGAGATTTTAGCTTTTGAGTGATCATTCAAATTATGGATAAAAAGCTTTCTTAAGCGAAGAAAGACCTCTGAAAATTTGAGGGTCAAAATGACCTTCACCATCCGCAAAGGATTAAGGGCGACGGTTGAAATCGCTGTGCAGGACTTCCATCGCTCAATTAGATTCTCCCCGTCCCGAAAAAACCTTTAGATTTTTTGTATCACCCCGATATTTTGCGAATTACTATACGCGCTCATATGCTTCTGGTGTATGCATAACTCCAATGTGTGAAGAAAAATCCGAGTGTGAACAGTTATCTTTTCTTCGTTGCTGCAGCACTTCTAGAAGGCCATTCGAAATGACAATCCTTAGAGTAGATTCGTCATTTTTCGGACTACCGAACGGCTACTGAAAATCCTATGAAAGATCAATCTTAGTCAATAACCGAACAGTCAATGTGCGGTGAATTGTAAGATTCTCTTGGCTGCCACGGTGCACTAAGAAGTCCTTACAATTCCTTTCCATCGCCGTCCTCAAGCTATCGAACCACTACCAAAACTTAAGCAAGAAAACCGCCCTACGAAAAAGCTGAATAAGCACGTGTGTGTTGCGCGCAATACACTCTGTCCCCATACGTTAGCTGACTTGTTTTTCTTTGTTGATCAATGAACTGATTGCTGGGATTTCTCGCGAAAAATGATGGTGCTTCGTCAGTTAATATCCTGTAAGAAATGGTTGTAATTATTACATCTTTCTGTTC